AGTCTCACACAATAAAAAGTAGAGATTTATTATTTTGTTACCATTGTTGGTCGAATAATGCACATGTGGTATGAAACACATGCTACGATATTACTCTTCTTTTTTCATAGAGCGTATGTCTTTCAACATTTATATATTAATACTACACAAGTGATAGTTCAAATACTCGCAATATCTAATTTAAGTCCATAACTTTACTTGATTTCATATAATCAATAAGACTTTCACCTAGCATATTAAGATAGATAAAGTGGATTGTATTTATTCACTTTTGATCACAAATCTCAATATCGAGTGCCTCATCTTGATCTCTTATCAAGGTGATTCTGTTTTAAGCTTAGGCTATTGATCCATAACTTTAAACTAGTCTCATCTTTATGGTGCCAAACCGTTGAGGTAATTACCTACATGAGAAAGCTAATCATCTATCCTACATACCTTTCTAATCATATCATATATGTACATATACATATATATATGTACATGCATCATAAAATAAAGTACTAAACTTTAATAGCATTAATTGTATTCAATATAAGTCAACTTAAATGGGACAATATCATATATTATTTATATAAAACTATTCTATTAGTACATATACATCAATATCTACGTAATCTTAGAGATCTCATGTGGCTTTTAAACACATTTCTAGGTATAAGCTTAGCAAATGAATTTGTAATCATCTTATGTGTAGAAATATACTGCACATTGACTCTTTTTGTGTAACAATATCTCTCATGTAGTTATGCTTTATATCTATATGTTTAGTTTTAGAATGATATTTGGGATCCTTTATGAATGCGATTATAGCTTGACTATCACATTTCACCAACACTAAATTGGACTTATCCTTCTCAAATCTCAAATGATTCAAGAATCTCTTAAGCCAAATAACCTTTTGCACTACCACTGAAAATGCTATAAATTCAACTTCTATTTTAGATAGTGCTATGCAAGTCTGTTTCTTATTGCTCCATGAAATAGCTATACTATTCAATAAAAAAATTAGCCAAAGGCATATTTTTGTAATCAAAAGCTCATTCCCAATCGACGTCCATATAGCTGACCAAATGTAGATTACTTCTTGATAGCACAACAAATAATCTACAGTGCATTTTTAGATATCTCAATATCCTTTTAACGGCTTCTTAATAGGGTTGACCTGGATTGGATTAATATCTACTTATTATGCCTACGATATAACAGATGTTCGACCTTATGCACATTATAGCAAATATAAAGCTTTCAATAATACTAGAGTAAGGAACTATTACCGTTTGTTCATTTTCATGTAGAGTCTAATTAGGAGATTTTCTCTGGCTATGGCCTTCACCTTTTACCATAAAAGTATTTATCGAATTGCAGTCTTGCATATTAAATCATTCTATAATTTTTTTAGTGTATTGCTCTTGTGAAAGAGTTAATAATTTCTTAGAATGATCTCTCATGATTTTTAAACCAAGTACGTATGATGTTTTGCCTATGTCTTTTATTTCAAAATTTAAGGACAACTAGGTTTCATATTAACGATATACTCTTTATCATTGTCAACCAAAAGAATGTTATCCACATAAAGTGACAAGATCATAAATTTATCTTCATATCTTTTGACATACACATAGTGATCCTCATCAATCATGATAAAATCATATGAAATTACTGCTTGATGAAATCTAATATACCAATACTTGAAAGATTGTTTAAAACCATAAATTGATTTTAATAACTTGCACACTTTGTGCTCTTGACCTTTGTCAATGAGATCTATAGGTTGCTCAATATAGATTTTCTCTTTCAGTCTTTTGTTTAGAAAAGTAATTTTCATATCTTTTTTATGTAACTCCAAATTTAAATAGTTACAATGACTAGAATTAAGCGAATCAAAAAAGTAATATTTGATTGAAATAACACAATCAAAAAGACACAACCTTAGAATTCAATCTTTATAAATAAAGATGGTATAAGTTCATTTAATAAAGGTATAAATTCAAAAAACCTTTTTTTTTTTTCATTTTTTCTCAAATAGATGGTTTGTTTTTTAAAATTAATTGTTGTATGAAATCTTGTTAAAAGAAGGCATTTTCATCTCTCATTAAGGGGTATTTAGCTGTTTGAACTCATTAGTGCAAGGTGATTCAAACAAGGCTTCATTATATCTTGGAGACATTTCAATTATATCCCTTTTGCATACCATCATTGGTAGGGACGAAATAAGCTTTAAAAAAATGGCATTTATAGCAAGCCTTACACTATGTTTGGATTGAGGGGAGGGGAAGAAAAGAAAAGGAAAATAAAAGAAAGTAATGAAAACAGAAAAACCTTCCTTTGTTTAAATAAACTTTTAATTTAAAGGAAAGAAAAAATTTTGAAAACTCAATAATCTTTGACTTTCCTTTGTAATCTTCACTTTTTTAACACTTTAATTTGGGGGAAAAGCTAAGAAAAGGAAAGTTGAAAAACTTTTACTTTTATAAAAAGATTATTATATCCAGGAATGCTTTAAAATCATAGGCAATGAAAGATTATAATTAAAAAAAAATAATTATAATGAACCATTTTCTTTCTTTTTCACTCTTTTTCCAAACAATGGTTGTTAGAATTCTTTTTCTTTTCTTTCTTTTATTAATTTTAATTATCTAAACAAGGGGTACATATATCCTTTCTTTCCTTTCCTTTAAAAAACTTTCTTTTCCTTTCATTTCATTTTCTTTGTTAATATTTATCCAAACTTTGCATTAAAGCTATTTATGTTCATGATTAAAGGTTCCATTTTAAATTCAACACTAAACTTGAAAAGGAAGATTACAAGTGGAAGATCATTAAAAACTTGTTCATGGATTAGCAAGTTTTGTACCATACCTTGTATGTAACAATCAGCTTAGGTTTCGATGGGGCCTTTCACATAATGGAACTTTTGTAATATGTGTAAGTTTAAAGGCGAGCACATTGCATGTGTCGAAGGATTGTGTTGAAGCTAGCAAGGTATGGAAGTCTATTTTGCCTAAGCAATTTTGGAATGATTTTTTTTTTTTTTGGTTCATTGGTGGATTAGTTAGATTCTAACTTGAAAAGCGATAGCATCCATTTGGGTTTACTAAGGATTGGCATTATATTTTTATTATAATTCTGTTACACCATCACTTGCCATTCAATAGTTAACAAGGTCAATCTTCACACTTGCCAAGTTAGTATGCGTCTGACTTTCACATCACCATCGAAGATGATCGACATCCAGACTCCTTGCTATAATAAGACATTGCCTTCACTTATGGACAAGTCATCCAACTACCAACACTAACGTCCCATAAAGACATCACTTCACAACATACCAATTGGCCTTCATCTTGTTTGGGATCATTAAATATAACTCACGCTAGTCATTAAATGTAGCCCATACTCACGTCGCCCTTTTTGAGCTCCACATGGACTTACCACCAATTGTCAACAACCCTTGTCGCATTATTATCCTTTGTCTCATATATAAGGTAAAAAGAAAATATAAGTATAGTAGCTCCAAATCTTTCTCCTTTAAGCTTTCTTAGCATTTTTTGTAACTCACCTTCTTCCCTTACAAATCCTAGATACTTGACTAACTTAAGTGTTAAAACATGCCCCAGAAAACTAACTCTGGTGCCTTATAATTGTCATTTCCTTTTGTAAATATAGGTCGTTTCTAGCACAACTTCTAGAACAACAGTAGCTTGTTCATGCACAAAACACCATCAATAAGCTCTTTAGAGATTATGGACTAAGATATATAAATTAATTTTCAACCTATGAGTAGTGTTTGGAAAATTTAGATATGGTGTATAATACCATGGTAGGTGAGACAGCTTTACATGAAGCTTTTTCTCCGAGAAAGGCAATAGCCAAAGGCCAATGTTTGGTTTGATGGAGTCTTCTAGATATGGATATGGTGAAAATTAATACAAATTGGCTTCTTATGGAAATCCTAGGATTATTGGTGTGGGTGGTCGATTCGTTCACATATTAGTCATTTTTTAGTGAGATTTAAAACTCATTCGAGTCAAACATAGTATCTGAATTGCATGCAGTGAGATTTGATTACTCATTATTTAAAATGAGGGTTTTAGTGAAGTGATTTGAGAGTTAGATGCTAAAGTTGTCATTGACTTGATTAATTTTGTTGATATTGCATTCCACCCAAAAGTATATCACTTATAATAATTGTACTATAATTAATCAATTATAATTCAGAATTGTGTAAGATCCATTAAAATTCTATATGAAACTAACATTTATAAATAGTCAACCCCTACATAATTCTTTGTTATAATTGAACAATTATAGGATTGCAGTAAAAAAAAGACTAAAAGATATAAAAAAAAAAAAACCTTGAATTATAATTAAAAAATCATCTAGGCCCATTTTTTTATTTCAATCAGTCAACCCTTTAATATTTATTTTTATCTAGTTGAACCCTTATTTGGATGAAAAAAATTAACACTATTAGTTTTTTTTACCAATTACAATAAAATTTCAAGCAACATAAAAAAACATATGAAAATTTGTCACATTCTGCAATTAATATATATATATATATATATATATATATAATAAACTTTTTTCTTTGTTTTCTTTTTTTTTCTTCTCTATTTCCTTTTTCCCTCTCTCTCTCAAATATCCCTAAAAGTTCACTTGACTATAATTTGAGGATTAATTGACTAATTTTATCACTTAACTAAATTTTGACTAATTAAAATTTTAATTAAATCAAAATAAAATATTAAAAACTCGATTGATTGCAATAAAATGTTAAAAGTTTAAATAATTTTTTAATTATAACTTAAAAGCATTTTTACCCCTTTAACCTAAAAAATTTACAGGTAAAATGTTTTCCACTTCCCCCTCTCTTTAGCTTAATTGGTGACATCGACGAGTTAAAGAGATGCTTTAATTTCATTTATTTTTCTTTGTGAAAACAAAACAAAACGTGCAATCGCAGGAGCGAGAGAATTTGTGATTTTCTTGATAAAAAGGATTTGAAACTAGCAGATGCAAAGGCTCACAAAACGACAGGAAAAGATTCAGCTTATCCTTTCCGTCACCCATTCCATTTTCTTTGTATTTCTTTTCCCATTTGAAATATGGTAAATAGACTTTCCCCCCATCCCTCCCTTCTTAGGAATCCGAAGCCTTCACTTTGGAACTTCACATCTTAATTGACTCAAATCACAAACCGCTAGGCTCATCTGAAAATTCCGCATGGAAAATTGTGGCTTTGCGTCGAGTTCCAAGTTATATTCCAACTTGTGTTGCAACAAAAAGTAACGTTGGAACAAAATTTTGGGGTACAATCCTTGTTAGAATTTACATCTAAAAGAAATTAATAACAACTTGCTATATATTATTACATTCAGTGATGGCTGAGATTTGCATCGAATTGGCTAGAAAGGCCAAAAATGCACAACTTCTATCGCTTCAGATTGTGCACTTGGCCTTTCTTTATTACTTTCCACAGAGCAGCTTTGGCTTCTTCCAATGTTTCAACAGCCTGCCCTTCTTCAAATGATAACCTCTGTATGTTGAACTGAAAAGAATACAACATAATTATGTAAAACAGGCATAAACCCCAACACCTCCCTCTAAACACAACTTTAGACTCCTCAATTGCCATCATACTGAATAAATGATACCTGTGCACCTTGACGGACCCTAATGTCAATTCCCTTGCTGTCTATTGATATAAGAGCTGCATCATCGACCTCAGCTTCAGATGATAACAGCTCTTTGAGGGGCTTTGAAAAGGTTGCGTTGAGTTCCTACAGTAAAAGCAAATGAAACCCAAATTAGCCCCAAAAAATGGGCAAATTCACAAACTGCATTAGAGCACACGATAAGAAATGAATTAGTAGATTGAGATCTTCAACAGGAATGAACAAAGAAACCAAAAATATCTTTCAGTGGCAGCAGCAGCAGTGACAGAGAAGAGAAAGATGCACAAAAAAAATTAACATAGCATAACATGCAAATTGCAAGAGGAAAACTGAGTTTCAGAGAAATTAAAACGTTCACCTTCAGATTTTGTTCACCTCCGTCAACAGCAATCTTATCCGGTTTAAGCGCCTCATATTCCTTGACATTGACCCATGCAACAGTGCCAAATCCTCCAATGAAATATATATCACTGAAATAAATTTTGATAAGTAATCATGTTCACTGTGTACTGATTATATAAGTACAAAATATTCAAAAATTTAATATGATCACTGCAAGAAAGAAAAGGAAAAAAAAAGGGAGGGGGTGAGTTGTTTATTAACTGGTTCTCTTTATCTCACTCCTAATCAGGCTTCTGAACCCGAAAGCATCACATTAGTTTACACGGTTATATATGTTATATAGAAACCAGGAGTCTTAAAGTAGTACTACAAGACAATGAAAGTAACAATCAATACACACACCAGAACAGGATTTTCTTTATTTCGCCATATAAAAAAGGGAATAATAAAGAACAGCATAGAACCATATGCTTGAACACTGACTAGATATCCCTTGAAACAAGAAAATTTAGATGGCTGCAATGGATGAGTCATAAATATAAATTAAAAAAGAATGAGGTCTCAAGATTGATGGATATGTTTATATACAAAAGATAAAGGAGATATTATGAGAAAAAAATGTAAATTTACAGGTTTACAATAGTGTTATTTTTATAATTTTATATGATTAATAATAAGTATATTTACAATGGTGTTATAGTTCTAGTCATTGGACCTCTAGGCCAAGTTAAGGGCCAATAACTATGCAAGCTTTAAACCATTGCTTTACAATTGCACCAAGAAAATTATTTTCTCTAACTAGATAATGAGAAAGATTTTACAAGTTTTAGATGTATGGATGAGGGTACACTATTCGACATTATAGATTTGTGCAAGAGTTATCCTAGGATTTGAGGGATGAAAGTGGAAACAGGAATCAACTTTCCATATGGAAAAGAAATAGAGAATCTTACCAACCTGCATGAGTTATGTAAGCAGAAAACAGTCTTTCAAGGCAAATAAGGAAGAAAAAACCAGTTGCAATTCACGCCAGTGCCATCTCAAGTTAAACCAAATATTGAGGTAGTTGAAACACAAAAAATTCAAGCAGGACAACAACCATTTATTCCAAAACTGAGTGAACAACAGATAAAGCTGTCTTCTATTTACAGTAAAAGACTATTAAGGGCAAAAACACAGTCATATATGAAAATCCTCTATCTCAGTTCACAAATAAACCAACTTATTCAACTTGGCCTGGGCAGGGTAGAGTGTTGGAAACTACTATCCCCACTTTTTGTAGGCTAGGACACCAGTAATATTGCAGCAAAGGACAGCCAAACTAAGGACCCACCCCCTCCTCCCCCCAAAAAAAAATACAAAACACATGAATTTCTAATTCGTGCTTTTGAGACATTAACCTCTACTAAATATTATAAGATGTGCATGACTGTATAACAGTTATTAGCAGTTTCCAAACAAAGGTATCCGCAAGAAAAACAGGTCATAAATAAGATGCAATGCATAAAGAATTAGCCCATAGTCTCTCTAAGAAGGAAATTTTAACTGGCACCATAAATAATAAATGCCATAGACCAAAGCATACCTTATGTTCTGCATCCTGAAGTAGTAGAAATTTCCCCACTGTTGAGATGGCCCTTGTTGATGTTTTGCAATGAACTGTTTATGAGCCCATTCCTAGCAAAATAACCAGGGGCTTGTTGAGGCATATTTTAGGCACAAATTTTATAGATATGCATAATAAAATCATGGCAGACAATTAATAGAGCCTAGAGATAAAGAATAACCCCCATCCCTTCCCAACACCAAAAAAGGAAGAAAAAAAAAAAAAGAATTTAGGTGACCACCTGTTGATGTTCAGGAAGCGGGTAGACATCACCAAATATTGTTACCCTTGCATTTGATAAGCTACTCCATCCAGGTATCTAGAAACCTAACTGTCAATAAATTCCACAAATGAAGAATAACTAACCCAGATACTCCATCAGAGCAAAAGAATCAAAAGAAATAACCTGCACGACAAGGGTGCATCTGGGCTCTGCTAATAAATTCCGCGTATGGATAGCTAATGGCGAAAATGAAAATATTGGGTCTGCCGATTGAAAAGCAAAGATATATTAAGTAAGACTAACAAATTATACACAAAATCTAACTTCTGTTTGCATAGCTGTCCAATTTTTAGGTGAAGAAAGTATGCCGTTTTCATAAAGTACAAACACAGTTACAATGGCTCTTTCACTTCAAAATAAAATATTAAAAGTAGAAAGCAAAAAAGTTGATAAACCATTTATGGTGGAACCAAAAAGTAACCAAATAACAGAACTTCAGAAATCAACTACTTACGACCCATTGAATCAGGTGCAAAATCTACCAGAGAGCCAAAGGGATACCCTTCTCGTCGGTGGTGCATCCGAGACATTAAAGTGCATAAATGAGCAAATCTGGCCTTAAATTACAGAGTCCAACAAATTTAGAACTACTGAATAAAAATAAAACTGAAAACGAAACACAGAGAAAGAGAATAGATGGAAATCTTTTTTTTATTTTTTCAATTTTCAATATATGATAGTAATTAGAACTCAAATAATAGGCTTTACTTGTTCCATCAGATTACGAACTGCTAAGGCTGGGCGAGGTAACCCATGCGCTGAAGTTGCACTCTGCACTCCACCAGATATTGGGGTTCTGAAAAGCCCAGCTCTTGTACCCCCACTTGCTCCACTCCCATATGGAATGGTGACAGGGGTTTCAACCTTTATTAATTTATCTACATCCTTTTCGCCATTTTTATTGTGATTTGGATCACCCTTCAGAACATGAGAGAGACCATCAACTGAACTAGTAGCCACTTGATATAACCAACAAGTGTCTATGTCAAACAAGAAGGAAAAAAAGGAAAAGAATTCAAAAGATCATGCTACAACTACAAGCTCATAAAATATAGTACCATCCACACCCCCCCCCCCCCCCATTTAATTTTTAAATCATCAATTGATTCCTTGCAGAAAAATTTAGGCACTTTAAATTTTAAAATTTCGAGCTTCTTAAGTTTCATTTGCTTTCCCTTTGCTATTTGCTTTTGCTTTCTCAAGAGTTGCTGAAAAAGTACTGCCATATGGTAGTATCAAACAGTGCAAATCTAACACACAATCAAACAAACATAATATGAAAAGTAAAAACAAGCACCTCACTATCCACCAAAAAATGAATTTTTAATTTTTAATCCTTCAAAAATATTATAATTGCTTTTGTATCAAAGCCTGAGTTAATGAGGAGGTTTCTCATGTATCTTTCTTAAATGTTGTCAGACAAGTAGAGAAAACAAAGCAAACATATCACGAATATAATATAACTTAAGAAGAACCCAAATTGGAAAACAACAGAGAAACCCAAAAAAAAAAAAATAGCGAGAAACAGAATTAATTTATAGTACCTGAGATGCAGAGAGACTATCTTCAGAAACTAAGCCAAACCCATTATTGAGGGTAAGGGGCTGCGGCTGGTCATCAATTTTGTCCGGAACCTCGCCAGGTAAAGCATGGAGACGAAACCCATGAAAGTGAGAGGTTTCAGACTTGAATTTGAGAGACGCAATTCGTTTAGTTGGCGCGTTGATCAAACAAGAAGAAGATGAAGAAGGTAAGTGGGTGTTGAGAAAAGGGTATGACTCAGGTAGATTAGAGATGAATACTGAACTTGAAAGAGATTCCATTGGAGTTTCTCCACAGAGAGAAGTAGGATTGGAAGAAATGATTTTCCAGTGATTCTGTTTATAAAAAAGAAAAAGCCGTTTTTTGAGTTCGTGCAAGGGTTTGGGGTTTTTTCTGCGTTTATTGTAACGGGAACAAAAATAAAAAACTAAAAGGATGTTGATTTGAGTAAACAGACAGAATCTTAGGAAGAGATTTTAGAATTTTACCTGAATTACGCTTTTTTTTTTTTGTACTATAATTTTTATAAGGGAAATAGAATTTATCAAAGGCTTGTAGAAAAAAATTTTTGAAAAATGATTTTTAAAAAGTATTTATATTTTTTGAATTAAAAGAAATTTTTTTAGTTAAATAAGTTAATAAAAATTTTTCATTGTTTAGTTGTTTTTTGAAAATTTTGTTTTTTTTCAAATAATATTAATATAATTATTAAAATATTAAAAATTATTTATTATTAAAATTATTAATATTTAAAAATAATTATATTTTAATAATATTTTTAATATTAAAATATTATGTTAATATAAAATATAGTTAAAATAAAACTATTTATTATTTATTATATTATTTATTAATATATTATAATATTTATTAATTAAATTAATAATATTTAATATTATATTATTTATTAATATATTATAACATAATATTATTTATAAGTAAAATTATGCTCAAATTTATTGATAAATAATTTCACTCATAAATAATTTTTTTTTCAAAAAATATCTTCTCATTTTCAAATTTATAAGATAATTTTCTGAAAATTATCTCATTTTTTATTCATCAGTAAATCATTTTTCGTTGATTAATCAATTTTGTACCAAATAAACACTTAAAAATATACAAAATTATTTTTTAAAAATTATTTTTTTTGTGAAACAAACGAAACCTAAAGTTCAAATAAATCAAGAAGAATGAGTCATGAATTTTAAACATGGGTTAGGCCTAGGCCTTGGATTGATCCTTAACAATATCATTAAATTTAGGGTAAATTTCATTTTTTTCATTTATCATTTTTTTTAAATGGTAATTAAATTATTATATATTTTTTAATTTAGTCACTAAAATTTAAGTAAATATCTTTTCATTCAAGTGTTAATATCTAATATCGTATTAATATGTTACCACATCAGCTATTAAATGCTACGTTATATTGTTTTGTCAACAAAATTTATTTTTCAAAAACTTATAATGTTATAACAATAATGTCATGTAACATATAAGATGATGTGATAATAAAAAATAACACTCAATAGCTAACATGACATTGCCACATAAGCACATAGCTAGAGGCTAACAGATAGGTGACAAAAAAAGGTTAAATTATGTTAAAGATCCTTATATTTTATGAAAATTTAAATTTTAGTTTGTTTATTGCAATTCATACAAATTTAATTTTCATACTATTTTAATTTGATAATTTTAGTCTAATCACTAATTCTATTAATTCTTTACAATTAAAAATGTTGACATGAACATTAACTTAATGACATGAGTATTAATTTTGTTGATATAGTATTCACATTGCTGACATAATAACTTAGATAAATAAAATCAATTATTAAATATGCAAATGTCTATATACTAATACAAATTTATAATTTAGTCTCTCTATTCGTAAGAAATTTAAAATTTTTTAATTCTTAAGAATGTTAAATTTACTTTTTTTAATATTTTAATTCTTTTAATTTTATTTTTTGAAAGTTTTTGCATTTTTTAATTTTTAAAATTTAGAAATTTAACAAATTTTCAATAGTTTGAATTTTTTAAAAATTTTCTAGTTTTTTAAAACATTAAATGTACTTTTCATTATTTTAATTTTTTGAAATAAAATTCATTTTTGAATTTTTCGAATTTTTTATTTTTTCAAATTTCAAAATTTATTTAATCAAGGTATTTAATTTTTTTTAATTTTTTAGAATTTTATAAATTTTCTATATTTTTTTATTTTTAGAAATTTTTTTTAATATTTAAATGAATAAATAAATTATAAAAAAACATAAGTCTTTAAAATTTATTCGGTTTGGTATATTTTTGAGAAGAAATAACAAAAAATTTGGGATAAAACTTAGAAATAGCGAAACCATAAGATTTTTTAATTTCGATTTACACTTCACTTGAATAAGATAAAAAAGTATAAAATTTTTTAATTTAAAATATTAAAAATAAATTTAATATTTTTAAAAAATTTATAAATTTTCAAAAAAATTCAAAAAATTAAAATTTTATATTAAAGAGACTAAATTTTAAATTTCATGTGAGTACATGAATTAAATTTTAAATTTCGTACTAATACAGCTATCAATTACATATTTTAATAACTAATTTCATTCATTCAAATTATTACATCAACAAAGTCAACATCAACATCATCAAATCAATGGTCACATCAATATTTTTAACGATAAAAAATTGATAGAATTAGCAATTGAATTAAAATTATCAAATTAAAATATTATGAGACTAAATTTATATTAATTACAGTATTGGGATTAAATTTCAAATTTTGACAAATTATAGGAATCTCTAATATAATTTGACTACAAGCAAACTTTAGTGATTAAATCAAAAGATTTAATTGTTAGTTGGACATTTTAAAAACACAATCATAGTTGAATAGATAATGATGTATTTTACTATAGAATTTAACACTTTTTTTGCATTTTTAAATTTCATTACATCCATTTTATTTTAAATTTCATTACATCCATTTTAATGAAATTTTTTTGAATAAAAGATAAATTTGACACTGTATTATAATTAAATATTAACTTTCTTTTACTATATTTTAATTTTATTGAATTTTGGATTAAAAATGATGAAAATATAATATTATGTAAACTATTTTGTTGATATATTTAAAATAGGTTTTGAATAAAATATAAAGAGAATAAAACTTTTGGTACTTGGATTTTAGAAAAATGTACATACATGTACCTAAAAAAATAAAATTTATAATTTATATCATGGATTTTCAAATAATGTGTCATTTTAATTTAAATTTTAATATTGTTAACTTAACTCACCTATATGGTATCTAACTAGAATAATTTTATTATATATATTTTATTTATTAAATGAAAATATTAAATATTTAGTTAAAACTTTCATGTGGTGTCATGTGACAACAAATGATTAATCATTCTTAAATAAATTTTACAATTCAGGTAAAAATAATATATATACTTTTAATTTATATTTAAAAACGATATTGATAGTATATGTAATGAACATATAATGATAATATTTGTCAAACGTCGCATTTGTAAGCTAATATACTTATAGAGAATAGAGTCTAATTTAATAGAGTACATAACTTAAAAATTTAGGGTGTAAATTGTATATTATTTAAAAATTTAAAATGCAAATTATATATTTTATTTCTTTATGTACCAATTTAAAGAATTTCTTAAAATTTGTATTCCAAAATTATAATTAACTCAAATATAAAATATAATGTAGATAATCCACGTGTTGCAAAAATGTATATGTGATGTGTCATATTGAAAGAAATTATTGCCTATATTAAAATAATTCTTTTTAAATATTAAATTTAAAATATATTTTATAAAAAATTAAAATTTAATTTATGAAATAAAAAAAGTTATGCAAGAAAAACAAGAGTGAAACCAATAACTAGATTTGATAAAAATAATACGAATAACTTCTTCCAAAGTGGCACACTAAGTGCACATTTATGCTAAATGTGAAATATTTATGTTTTATTCAAAACTTATTCGATAAATTAATGAAATGGAATATTTTATAAAATATTTTATTTTTATTAATTTTGATCAAAAAATTATCAAAAATGAAAATATAAGAATAAAAAATGCAATGAAAATTTTTAATGAAATCAAAATAAAGTGACAAAATCCAATATTTACCTATATTACAATAACAAATTTATCTTTTATCTTGATTTTTTTATAATCAATGATTTATTGTAAATTCACAAAAACAAACGTATTTGGCATATAGAGTGATAGATAAGATAGGATTGCAATAAATATTAACCATCTTTTTTGTATAGGATGATTCAAACCTCTCAAAGTAGAATGGATTATTTTAATCCATAAGATTGAACTTATATATTTTATTATACTCTTAAAAATATATCAATAATTTAAAATTATCTAAACTTTGAAAATGGTTAATTTTGACAAAGAAATAAAATTATTTTATTGTATTTTTTGCGCACATCAAGCAGAAGATAAGATGACATTATTTAATCAAATCATATTCATAATATTATCATATCATATCATAATCTTGTGTACCAAATAAACCCTAAATATATAAATTAAAGTTATATTTTATGCATAAAATTATTGATAGGATAGAACGATAATTATCGTGCATCATATTTGATTTGTATTTAAAGAGACGGATAAAGATTGTAAGACGATTAATATCATTTTGACATATGATTATTCAATTCTCCCCAAGCGTAGAGGATTATTTTTAGCCCATGAGACTAAACTTACATGTTTAATTATACCCTTAAACATTATATCAATAATTTAAATTGTATATACTTTGAAGAAAGATAATATTGATAAATAAATATATTATCCTATTCTAATCCTTGCATACATCAAACACAAAATAGAATGACATTATTTAATCTAATCTTATTTATAATTTCACTTTATTTTTTCTTATCATAATATTGTATACTAAACATGTTTTAAAATCCTCGTATCATTGACAAATTTTAAATTTATTATAGTATTTTAAATGCATGGCTACTTTGTTAAAAGACAAACTAATATCATCATGTTATGTACTTAGGGTCCATTTTGTACTTTTGATTGAGCTCTAATGCAATACAATCAAAATTAATGCTGTTAATTTTGTTTTGATATCGATTATATCAATCAATATGCTTTAATTATATAAAAAAATAGTATACTTATGTGTGATTTTTCATACAGACAATTCTAAATACACCACAATTATTTCTCTCTACACCTCATCTTTTTTTTTGCAAAATTTTTTGTGAGTAAAATTACTTAAACACCTTTTTCACAAGTATTTGGAAATGAGTTTCTAAAAAATATTTTGACTTTTTGAAAATTCATTTTCGAAATGTGTTCCAAAAAATAATAACACTTTTTGAAAATGAATTTCCTAAAAGTCATAACATTCTTTGGAAATGGACTTTCGAAAGCGTTAAAAATGAAAGTTTATGA